TGCCTAGGTGTGTATGGCGATGTGTCTGCTGGGCAGTTAGAGGAAGGGGGCCTTGTGTTTTCTTAGGGGCTGAGCAGAGAGGGGCCCCCACAGCACCACCTTCACCGGTCCATTCATCCAGCCCCCCCCCCTTCAGTAAAAGAAGGTCTTTGTGTGTTTGCGCTAGTGAAGCAGCCCCAGTCAGTCCCAGTGTTCCCAAAGGAATACAATGAATGGGAGCATTTTGTCCCACTCTATAACATCCACCCCTCCCTCTCTCTTCTTCTTCTTCTTCCTTTTTTTTTTTTTTGTAATTCGGACACACAGACTCATTTTTATTCTCTCCTCATTCCTTCTTCTCGATGTCACAAGACGTCGGACAGTTTTTGTGTGTTTGTGCATGTGTGGGAATGCCTGAAAAGTACCTTGCACTCCTTATATATGTGTGTGTGTGTGTGTGTGTGTGTGTGTGTGTGTGTGTGTGTGTGTGTGTGTGTGTGTGTGTGTGTGTGTGTGAGTGAGTGTTTGTGGGGCTTCCCGAGCTTTTTCAGAGTGTGACCCAAACAATGTTGTCTGAAGAGCTGGTCAGGTGATGAACACATGTAAGTGCATGCTTACTGAACAATGCTCGCAGTGGATAACGCAGATGTCTGAGGCCCGTATTGGCTCAATCATGTGCCCAACATTCACACACGCACACACACACACACACACACACAGACACACACACACACACACACACACACACATACACGCCTTTAAAAGTTCTTTGATGGAGAAAAGGCCAACTAAAAAGTCCAAAAAAGTCCTCGCTCTTCAGGTTGAAGAAGCTTAATACTGGAGTCCTCATAGTGATAGAAAAACAAGTCACGCAGTTACTATAAATACTTGTTTGTATAATTTGGTTTCACAAAATGTGTCCTTTCTAAGAAGTAAGCATTAAGTAATGTTGGGCCTGATTCCCTCCCTTCTGTCAAAACTCAGCAAAGTCACATTTCTCACATCACTAAAGATTATCTTGCCAGATGTTCCAGTGGTGTGAGGTGAATAAAGAATGACACAATCTGCTCTGACAAATATCTGCACTGATTTCAAATGGTTAATTTTAAACACGATTAATAATTACAATCCAATCTCCTGTTGTGATACCCGAGGACAGCCCGAGCACGCACTCTGTGGGTTGTCACAGGAGTGAAACGCTGACTGAAGAAAGAAACACAACAACTGCAGCAAAAATCAGCTTCTACTCACCTTCGACTCCAGCTGTAATGACGGCAAATCCATGTTTACCCTAGTTTTTTAACTGTGAATTTTCAGTAAGAAGTAGTCTAAAAAATGATAGCCAATTCTTGCTGCCCATCATCACATTTTGGGTCTCATGACGAGAATCTGTTGGTGTGTGGTGTTGTTCATTGTGTCATTCACACATAGGAACAAAACTGTTAAATCAACCACTTATTTATGTCATGGGGTCTCCCATTTTCAACACCTATTAAGAGTCTTTTTGTGAGGGACGGCCTAAGCCCTCTCATCAGTAGATAAGGTAAATCAGGAGAGAGAGTGGGGAGCGACATGCGGGAAAGGAGCCACAGGTCGGACTTGAACCAGGGCCACCCGCATGGAGGACTACAGCCTCTGATGGGGGTGGACCAAACCGTTCGGCCATCAGTGCCCCAACTGTGTTATAATTTGATTCATTTTCAAAAAATAATTTAGTCAAATAAGTGCTGAGCGTATTACAAATATATCTAATGATCATGGAAGGGTAGGAAGTGGGAATTTAACCTGAGTGAAGAAACTTAAAAATAGAATAAGCAATTATTAAAAACTGAACATTTATTGCTATTCATTTTCAATAGCATATAATTGTGGTATCTGTTAAAAAGAAATAATCTATTATTGTAGATTTGCGTGAGTTTTGATGAACTGGTTGTTTTAATAATTGATTTGAAAAAATAAACTGCATAATGTTTTAGTAGGCATGACATCCGTTTTTTCATGGACGTCTGAAGATGACCTCTTTTCACTTTGACCTCTATCTGAACTCTTCCACATCATAATCAAAATGTGACTTCCCCTACACACCGCATCCCATTATTTAATAGAAAGACCTCAATCTAATTTGCAAATGCACTCATATTCCTCCGGGAGTAATGCAGCATGGTTGTTGAAGATGGCCTTTCTTTAGGGTTACTGTGGAGGGAAAACGTATGGATGTGGTAAAAATAACAACCTTTAGATTCCATCTCATGAGTGATGCGATTATAAACTTCGGTTGTTCTGTGTTGGTTTTGGCGCCCCCTGTGGACAGAGCAGTGCACCTGCCTTTGATAATTGTGTGTGTGTGTCCTGTGAGGAGTTTCTTACTGGTAATTAAACCAACTAAAACGATACTTCTGCAACGCCTAAAAAAAGAAAACAACACCATTAGTGAGGAGATTTATAATTTCTTTAATGTAACTTTTAATATCTGATACCTCTGCTGCAGGATAGGTGTCGTACATGCAGATTGCTGAAACAATCTGTAATCACTCGGAGTCAAGTTTTGACTGTTTAAAGACAGATGGATGAGTTTTTTTGTCACAAGTCAAGATCACCAAAAAGTCTTCTTTCTACAAACAGCTGAATGTATCAGTCATTGAGATGTTCACAAAGGCTCTTGGTCTCACACCTACCCTGCAGCAGCAGATTACAACATTCAAATCTTTTTGTATAAAAATAGTTTATCTTTATACTGATGCTCTTGTTTGCTTTTGTTGCTCATAGAGTGTCATTGACATTCATTTCAGTCTGTTTTCAAAACTTGCTCAGAATTTCTCATAGCAGCTTTAAATGTAAAAACTCTAAATGTTTCAATCAAGCTTTAATCTTGTGTAATGAATTTACAAAAAGAAAATGCATGAATATACACTAGACATCACATTCTGTTTCTTCTGACTGTTGCTATGATATTAATAAAATATTCTTAAAGTATACATTGAGATATGGAGGTAAATAAAAGTGTGTTTTGTTATTTAATAAAGCGCATGATAAATTCCCATATAGCATAAAGAGACATTTTCAGTGTATATATTTAACCCTCACATTGGAGAAGCTGGAACCGGGAAATTCTTCCACTTCCTAAATCGTTTACACAATTAATCAGTTATCAAATTTGTCGTCCATTAATTTCCTGTTGATCTTCTTTATAGACTGACTAATCTTTCTGGCTCTGCAGCGAACGCACACGAGTCAAAGATAGTCTTATTCATCTCTCTCTCTCTCTCGCTCCCTCTATTTAGTCATGCTCTTTGAACGTACACACACACACACACACACACACACACACACACACACACGTTTACATACAGCATTAAAATCCCAAAGGACAGTCATCTAATCCAACAACGCAGCGCGAATGCAAAGAAACAGTGTAACCACACAACATGCTGATTGTGTGATTTGAGCTCTAATGATGAAGAGTCCCAGGAGGACCGAGAGGAGGGGGGAGGAGGAAGGGGGGGGGGGGCAGTGTGCTTAATGAATTGGCAGTAAAGGAGATGAATGGAGGTGGAAGGCATTGAATGGAGGAAAGGAGGAAACATGCAGAGAAAGAGAGACACATCAACAAGCTTTTACCTCAAAGATTGAAACAGGGAATAATAAGAAGAAAAAACAGTGAGAGAGGAGGGGCAAGAAAAAAGAAGAAAGGCCGAGAGCGACTGACGTCTGACAGGTTAAAGAGAAGAAATGGTTCAATTAGAGAAGGAGGACACTAGAAGCAGGCAAAAAAAGATGAAAAAAATGATTTTAGAAGCCAAGAAATTAGATGGATGAACCAAAAAATTGACAAGAACAAGAGGAGGAAGAGAGAGGACGAACCTCATCATGTCTGAAAAACAGATAAAGCAGAAAGACACCTGATAGAAAAAAGAGGCAAGACGAAGCAAAAGAGCGAGAAACAAAAAAAAGACGAGAGTGCAAGAAACAGGAATTATTCAGAAGTTTAAGAAATTTGAGTTAATTGAAGGAAAAAATAAAACGGGAAGCAGAGAAAAATAAAATAAAATACAAAAGGAGATAAAATATTTGAATAGATGAGGAAGAAAATTTAAAAAAGATTTTATTGTTAACTGTAAAACTGAAGCTTGTAATTTATATGCAAATCAACTCATAGATGATCTCCTTTAAATGGTTTAAAAAGAATCCTTTCCATCACTAGAATATACTTTGTTTATATTAACATTTATACGCCTTTATAGTAGTTTTAAATCTTACCAAATTACGTTCAGGACTTAAAGTAAGAAAAGAGATAAAAGGAGAAACGTAAGACAAGAAGAGAGAACACATGAGGGGGGGAAAGACAAACATTTTTACAAGACAGAAGTGAAAAAAGAAAGGGATGAGATAAAGGGAGAGATGGAAGGGAAGAGAGAGAGAGAGAGAGAGAGAGAAAGAAAGACGGTCCGGTGGTTTTAAGTACAAGCAGCGCTAATAGATTCCCACAGGCTCATCTTTGATTTGCTCTCCTCAGTCAGAGCCCACACTTTTTTTTAAAAGAGTCTTTCAAGCCGACATGAAAGCAGCAGTTATTTCTCTCTGTTGTTTTAAAGGCATTTTGTTTCACGTTTCAGCACTCGTCTCCCAAGGATCTTGATTTGTTGTTTGGTCTCGTCAGCCCTGCTGATCAGAACTGTGGGAGGTTCACGTTTGTTCATTTTTAACCTTGATGAGCTGTTGGTACCAATTTTGTCTGCAACTTTTCTGAATCTTGACCATCTCCTTTTTTTAGAATCTCTTTTTACTTTTTCCTGTTCTGCCTTCAATTTTCTTTCTTGATTTGAATTTTACTCTTTTTCATTTCCCCCCTCGTTCATTTCTCCACTCTGATTGTAGTGTGTGTGTATCATGTATGTGTGTAAAGACATGGTCTTTAGAGGTGTTTTTAGTCACCTTGTCAAGTGTTTCATGTAAGGACTTTAAACATCTCTCTCTCTCCCCCCCCCTCTCCCCCCCCCCCTCTCTCTCTCTCTCACTCTCAGGTTCAGGGTCACATGCAGCCTCTGATGATCCCAATTTTTCCTCACGACCAGCGCTCTCTGGCAGCCGCCGCCGCTGCACAGCAAGGTTTCCTCTTCCCACCGGGCATGTCTTACAAGCCAGGTACACAAACACACACACACACACACACACACACACACACAAGCAAACGCATGCAAACATATTACACACACACTGTATAAACTGCACAAGACACCAAAGGATGTTAAGGAATCTATGTTTTCTGGATAAACATTCACCACCCTCCAACAAAAGCTCTACGGCTCTGACAGCTATCGTTAACTAAAGAGAAACAGTCTCTCATACACTCATGCACACATGCACACACACACACACACACACACACACACACACACACACACACACACACACACACACACACACACACAGGGATCCCAGTCTATGTTAATGAAGTGTGTCAGGTGAGGAATGTTCTGGAAATGAGCGGAGAGATTTACAAGCCTTGCTTGTTCACGTCAGGAACAATACATTGGACACAGCGAGGACTGGAATGTCTCTTTTACGGCGCGCTGAAAGCATGTCGGTTGCACAGCACATCTGCAACATGGAATTTCACACTCTTACTCACATACATATATACACGCACACACACACACACACTCTAAAGCATGTTCTCCTTGTAAGCAGTGACCCAACAATGCTTGGGACGATGCAGACAGAGGAATCACATGCATTCCTCGAAAATTGCACTAAAAGAAATGCACAAACATTTGAACCGTCCACAGGGATTTTTCACAACTAAACACTTCAAAGACACACAAACAAACAAACTTCAAGTACACATCTTTCCTGCGTTTTGCCGGCTTGGCGACACCACCTGCTCCTTCACACATTCCTGTCTTGCATGCATTCCTCCAGGTGCTCGCCTGACGCCACTCACCACTGACCCCCCGCACTCCAAACAGAATAAGCCCAGTTTAGTCCTGCTGCATGAGCATGCACCCCCACCAGGCTGCAGAGAGGGGAGCACACAAGAAGAAAGGGGTTAAAAAGCCATTATTCTACACTCTCCTCTGACTTTGGTCTGTTTGCAACAAAGGCGCAGACATGGAAAGCCTTTTAGGGACAAACAGTAGGGGTTATTCAGCGTTTTCATATATGAATTTCTGAGTGCATCCCAATGAGGGAGCGCTGCACTCAAGCACCCATGTGCACCAACAATACAAGTTATTAACATAACACTTGTGACCCTTTGTTTGTCATAAATATAAACATGAGAGAAAGAGAGGAGACAAAGAGAGACAGACAGAGGCTTGCTGAAAGTTAAGAGCAGGTTAGTTCTTGTGCAGTAACCCCCCCCCCCCCTCCACCCTCATCCTCATTATACAATATGTGTTGTTTTGGTTTTTCTACAGGTGAGAATTACCCCATGCAGTTCATTCCATCGACAATGGCAGCTGCAGCAGCATCTGGACTCAGCCCGTTACAACTACAGGTACGTTTGAAAGCACACCTGGTCTCCTGAAAACTCCCCGCACTGTGCTAACAAACTGCATGGCTGCCGCTAAATGAGTCAGAAAACACATATGGTAATCCATGTGAGCCAACCTTTAAAAATGAAACTGTACAAAGGGATGAGTAATGATTTCCAACAAGAAAATAATCGGTGAAGACAAACAGAAAACAAGACAATGACGTGATGAAAAGCAAAGGTGTGGAGGTTGGTTTGCATGTGTGGACATTCTGCTGTTTCACCTGGAATCACTTCTAAACTCAAACAAACAACCTTTGAACACAGGAAAAGATAAATCCAAAATGTCCTAATTTTTCTCAGGTCTGACTCATTCCTAATAAGGCTGTCAAAATGTTCGATACTTTTTGAGAGCAGATGCTTAAAAACAAAATATGATCTCCATGTTTTAAGTTTACTTTCAGTCGGGAAGTACTTAAGCTTTTACATTTACAGTCATATGTCCGCTGTGTCCTTGGGCAAGACACTTAACCCCAAGTTGCTCCTGCTGCTTCATCAGCGGCGTATGAACGTGTATGAATGTGATTAGTTAGTCCTGATGGACTCTTTACATAGCAGCCTCTGCCATCAGTGTGTGAATGTGTAGGTGTGACCTGCGGTGTAAAAGCACTCTGAGTAGTCAGAAGACTAGAAAAGCAATATGCAAGCTCAAGTCCATTTAGCATTTATGGAATTGGACAGCCGTACTTTCTTAACAATAATTGTTTAACCCTTTGGATGAAAAACTTAAAAATCTTGGTAATATTATTTCTTAATGTTGTGAAAAAATAAATTGTATAATTGTGACAATCCAGCAAAGCTCCCAAAAGAAAAGCCTCTATTTGATATCTATGAGGATCGCTGGAGTGATGCTGGTCTTAATAAACACAGCAGAAGCATAATAACCAAAACTGTCATGGCGATAAAGATAAGTTATGGTAATGTACACTGAAAAAGTACATACACATCTAATCGTCAGGGTGTAACCAGCAGGCCAGAACCCAGCACAACTGTAGATCAGCGAGGAGCTCGATAGAAAAGACAGTCGAGATAAGGAGCATTGGCAAACTCAAAGAAACTCCTACTTCTTTATAAGCTCGCCCTGAGTTCAAGTGGTCGGAAAAAAACCTCCAAGATTTCAATGAAATAAAAGTCTTTTAATGCTGCCTATCCAATGCTGACCGCAAAATCCACAATACAGATTTAGACTATACACAGTACATGACACCTTTTATAATGTGCATATGAGCTCTCGAGGCCAAGGCCATGATGAAACCTACTTGAATGTGCCATAGAGTTGACCTGAGGAAAGAAAATACCGTCAAGCTTAAAAAGAAGTTAGCAAATATTTTACATCAGAGGTGAGAGTCGCTATGACAGAGGGTCTAACTTCAGCAAAAGAAAATCAAAGAGAGGAATGCCATCAGGATTCACAGACGAGGAAAAGAGTACAAACATCGTTAACTCGAGTAGAAGTGCAGATGTCCTTGTGTTTAAAAGGACTCTGGAGGGATGACTAATTTAATGTCTTCACTGAAATAGAAAGTAAAACTAAAAAAAAAACAAAGTAAAAGGTGTCTCTCTTGTTGTTTTAACATGTATATAAAAAACTCCTGAAAAGATCCAGAAGATTTCAGGGTGAACTGGGTAAACCCAAACGGCTGATTTTTATCAGCTCAACTTTACAAAGAATTATTCCTGCTAACATTTCCGCGTGCAGTCAGGCAGATATCTGGACACAGCAGGAAATATGCAAGGCCGTTGTTTCTGCTATTATTTGGAGACCACCATCGTTGAGCAGCTAGCATAGCACCTTCAGAAACCAATGAGCGAAGTCACTGAAACTACGTCCATGTTTTATACAGTCAAATGGGGTTAGACAGATAGATAGATAAAAAGCTAATTTGTCAATTTCTTCCTTCTTTTTTTTTTTTTTTTTTACTTTTGTTCTCTTGTCTGATAATCTAGATTCTCAGCTGCTCCATGTTGCAGTAAATGAACACAAATGCTCGTGAAAACCTCTGTAAGAAAAGACTCCAAGGTTTAAAGGAGCGGGAAACACTCATTGAAGCTGGAGGCAGGCCAGCATACATTAGCCGGCTCAGATCACAGGCTCACTTCCTGATGACTTTAAATGGAGTTAAGTCTTTTTAATAAAACAGCACGACACATTGGATGAAGACGCAGCTCTATAGGCCGACACTAACCTGCTAACATGCTAACCTGCTTATCTGCTGCCTGTCAGCTGCATCAGACAAAAGCTGTTATGATGAATCACAGAGGAATTCCGCCCCACCAGCACAACACCTGGCCCGCGCAATTCATCAAATATTTTATTACTGCTTGACACCTGTGGTTTGAGAATAGCACTTATACCCATAATGGTTATCATAGAGCATATTTGCATTGAGAAAGAAAAAAAAACAAACAACTGAAACAAAAACAGACATAAAGAGGAGGAAAATGAAATCACTGCTCGTTTGGGATTTCACAACAGGAACCCGGTTGCCCCTCCTGCTCTACCTTCTCTCAGAGCACAGAACAAAAGCCCTCAAAAGCGTTTTTCACTGCAAACAATGTTGCTTCATCACGTCAAGTCATTAGCATAGCATGGCTTTTGGATGTTGCAAGAATCCTTATCTCAGTTTATTCAATTTGCATTGTGGTTTTACTGATGGAGGCCCTCATTAGCAGCTATTGACTTTGCAAAGTGCCGTGCGGCGCTGGCTGAGGGGAGCCGAGCGGCGGCGCAGCCCGTCTCCACTCCTGGCTTTGAAATGATCAAAAGAGTCTCTTACCTCTCTCCCCTCCTCTTGTGTGAGAGAGGTAAGAGGATGAATGATGTCGGAGACGCAAACTCATTCACATCTGAACACTGCCTGAGACGGGGAGAATGAGAGGCGGAGAGGAACCTGAATGAAAGAGGAAGCGTCTCATCACGCCGTTGTCTCAAATCGAGCAGGAGCCCGGGAGAGGGAGAAAGACAGAGAGGCAGCGCGGGGGAAGTGTTTATGAGAGTGGGAAAAAAAGAGCGACTATCTGAGGAATTTTTTGTGAGACGGAGGCGCTGGCTTTCAGCACATGTTTGGACATTGTTTTGACAACAATGCGCGTGCCAAAAGCAATCATGACGAGATTTATGAGTTTATTTTGTTTAGTTATATATCTTCATCTCAGACAGTGGATCTCTTTGTGCTCTGCTGCTACTGTGCGAAACAAAATAGTGATCCAGGATATGGGTGATAATAGAAACACCTGTTAAGTGTTCTGCTCTTCAATAAATGCTTACTTTGTGATGTTGCTGTGGTGCAGCCTCTTTGAGTGAACAGCGCTTTACCTTCACCCCTGCATCATGACCTGTGTGGACTTTTAGCATATACGTCGCATCTCTTTTCTCTGTGTTTCAGCTTCCTGTTTGTGTGTCAGAGAGCTTGACAACTTGACAGCAGAATACACTTTTTCCTCTTTGGTAGACATTAGTTATTCCTTTTTCATTCTATCTTCTTTTTTTTCCACTAGCTATGATCACGTTGTTACAACGTTGTAAGGTTTTTCAGACACTGGTTGCATACTGTGGTGAAGATGAAGTATGATGCATTGCACTCTGCATATTTGTCTTAACAACAGCCTAACTCATTGCAAAGACTTGGCGTGCGGTGGTGTAGTGAGAGTTTCTCCTGGTGTGAGCAGGGGTCTTTATTTCAGCTTCGATGTTTCTGCAGGAAACTCTTCCTCCCGCACTATCTTAAGCCCTCTGGCCTGCATGTAGCCATGGCGGTTACGCTATAGTGCCACAGTGGCTCTCTCTCTCTGTCTCAGCTCTGGCTCTGCTTCTCTCATGGGCTCTGCCTTTGGGAGGTGAGGGACAATGAATGTATGGAATTTCAGTTTTCTCACAATCCATGTGAGTGTGATGTGCGTTTATTAACCCAGAGCTTTGCAGACAAACTTCAGCTCACTCTTTGTGACTCTTTGACATGTGGCTTTTTTTTTATTATGCATGAAAAACTGTCTGCAGCCTTTTGACCCGTTGACTCTGAGCTGTTTGTTGGTTGTCACATTGGTGATGTATGAAATGAGCCAGAATGAAGTGTGGCAGCTATTAAAAATGAGAGCGTATCAGACAAGCTCTTACAGTGTGTGCATTATGGAATGTGCATTATAGCATGAGGTAAATGTAAGTTATGCAGTTGCATGCATTAATGGGTCTTCAATCATCTTATATAACACATACAGTGTGTTGAACGTTGCTGCCTGTTTAGCAGACGACTCGGCCTCTTGGTGGGTCACTCTGTCGCGATTCAAAGGGGTAACTGCTGTACAGACGTTGGTCCAGTGCACACACTGACATCTTGTCTGTTATCAATTGTTTTAGTCTCAGCTATGCTTCTTCATACAATGGTCAAACTGTCCATTAGTGTTAACACTTAGGCACAGCATGTTAGTTCTACGCAAGCTGCTTTCTCCTTCACTGCATGTTGTCTTCAAGAACACACCAGCTGGCATCCAATCCTTTCAATGCCAGATCTGTGTTGCTGCTGGATGGACAGATGTTGTAGCCAGACTCTTCCAGATGTTTCTGTCTGTAGCATGCATTCAGACAGCTGGCTGGCACTGATGGTCAAGCAGGCGTAATCTGGCAAATGGAGACGGCATAATCTCATGCTTTGGAAAAGTAAACCTAGAAGAAGTTCATTAAAGAGACGGTCAAAGTTCAGAAAGTTACAAGAGCTATCAGTAGCCTAATGTTCGTACATTTCTGCCTTAATCAATTAAATAAACCTATCAAATCAGCTGCAGGATGTCAGAAATATTTGGCTATAGCTTTGACCGATTGTAACCAATCAGCGTGGGAACCTGATCATCCCAATTGTTTCCAGACCCCTTCACAAACAGTGGACTCCTACTGAAGAAAGCCCCCCTTTGTCACGGCTAATGTGAGTGAAATACAGTTGCTTGGCCGACATTCTTCTTGAAATCATAAGACAGATTCTCGCTGTGTGTCTCTATGTTTTGGACTTCTTCTGTTAGTGTGTCTGAGGCATGGAGACGGTGCATTAGAACAAACTTTGGTGCCCCGGAGCAATCATTTCTCCCCCGTTGCCAACATACAGTAATCAGGCCAGAATGGATTCCTTTGTCTTAAAACAAGGACAATGATTGGAAGGCAATCAGATGCCTCGACTAAAAAAAAAAAAAAAAAAAATGAAGCATCTGTTCTGTGAAAGAAAACTGGAAGTGAGATAATGGTTGTCTTTATGTGGCTGTTCTCTCTCTGTGGATCTCATTCAGTGTTTCGGGCACAGCTTAGCCTCCAGGTGCAATATTTAGCCTCGGTGCTCTGTGTGGCAGTCCATACATTTCCTCCTCCTCCTCCTCCTCCTCCTTTCTTCCTCCCCTCGGAAACCTGCTGAAAAAGACAAACCCTCATTTGTTTCGTGTACTCTTGAGATCGATAGCAGCTCAACACTAAAAGAGGGATTCACCACTCAGTCCTAATGGGACAGGCCAGTCATCAGGGATGTAACAATACACTCAAGTCATCCAATACATAACATATTCCTTTTAAAGTGATTTTCTAACTTTTATAGAGACGGGAAATTAAAGTAAACTTATGCATAAATATGATTCAAAGGATTATGCCATCGTAGGCCAAGACTTAAAAAACCTGCTCGGAAGGGGAAAAATGACGGACTAATCGTTTGGTTTTAGTCCAGTTAGCACTTAAGCTCACAAGCACTGTCAGATAGTCGGACGACTGCAGAGTAGTCCAAGGCCCCCTTTGTCAATTTGTAATTTCGGAAATTGCGGCATTGTTTTCCCTTGGGGGGTCGACTGAATGGCACAGGCTGTAGTTGGTGTTGTTTACGCTGCACATTGGCCTCCCCAGTCACCAATCAATCTCCGAGTGTCTTTAAGAAAATCAGGTAAAAGCTCTCATTCTCAGCCTTTTGTTTGTTCAACATTTCTCTTTTCTTTTTGCTGATGGAATCGCTGCTAACAGCACAATAGCAGATGGTGGGTTTGCACACAGGCAGGCGCGGGTGTGAGACCCTAACTGTGTGTTTTACCTCAAAGACTCATGTGTCTGCTCCCCTCAGTGCTGTAAGAATATCAGGCATCACCAGAAGTAACTCTGCGGTCGGCTTGATTGACGCGAGAGGCCTCACCAGCAGCCATTCAAGGCACATTCTTACGGGGATCTCATATCACCAGGGGTTGGCCCGAGCACTCACGGTGCCTTCCAAGGAAAATAAGCGGCGTGACATCAGGGCTTTGTTTCAGCGGCGAGGCCCCTTCTGTTTGTGTTTAATATCGCTCCGAGAGAAGTGGAAAGAGGGCCAGCCAATTTCTCTCCATGGCCCCAACCGCTGAGCCTGGAGCTTCGACGGCAAAGCGACGGTGGTCTCGTGTGTCTGAAGGGCAGCACTCTCTCTCTCTCTTTCTCTTTGCTTTTGGATCTCTGCTCCCAGGAGGCTTTGCAGTTTTGACTACAGGGAAATCAGATCTCACAACACTGGGGGCCGTTTAGGCCGAGGGAGCAGAGAATAAAAACAGAGAGAGAGAGAGAGAGATGGAGAAGGTGGGGATGATATGAAGAGTTATTTTGGAACAAAACTAAAGAGAGAGAGAGAGTCAGAGAGATCAAAAGGGAGGAGGACAAAACGAAGACAGAGACATAGAAGGAGGGGGAGAGTATAGATGAGGTGAGAGGAACGAGAGGAAAGCAAGAAAGCAGAAAAGAAAGACAGAGAGGAGGGAGTCTAAGCGAAAGCCAGCCACGTCTGGGTGGTTTTCCTGAGGACAGGCTCTTTGATACTCCGGCACTCACACTCCGATGCATTTAGACAGGGGTTGACAGTGGTTACAGGCAGCGGTTTGTCTGGCCAGCTAGCTTTGATTTAGAAGACCCTGGACTGTGGGCCGAGTATTTGACTCTTTGATTTTTGTTGGACGGAAAATCAGTACTGTGTTTTTTTTTTCTCTGCTACATTTAATGTTTTTCGTCCAACGCTGAAGGCAGACGGCTGATATTTTCCAAGGCTTTTTTTAAGTGTTCTATTATTTTTTCTCTGTTTTCAAGTGTTTTTAAATTGACTCATCAGCAGCATGACTAACCCTACTTCAACATGATTATCCACCATTGTCTTTGGGATGGAAGTCAGTGAAGAAACTCAATTGCCCACTCTCAAAGCAAGGACAAACCAAATATGACAAGATTGGTCTCAAGTGTTTTTGAGACTCATAACCTTTTGTTTGCTCTCCTAGCTTTTAATCGATTGCTTTGACTACTATCATCACAGCTCTGCTTGGAATGACTTAAAAAAAACAGCCACTTTATGTATTTCACACTGTATAAAACATGGACTCTATAAGACCATCCTTTGGTTTCTGAAGGGACGCTATGAAGCCCAAAGATGGTGGTTGCCAGTGGTGTAGTGCAGAGTATACACAGGTATATACGGGGTGTACCCACTTCCAAATCCTCTTTGAATCACTCCAATAATTCATTGACAATATTCAGTAGTACGCTGCAATTTTTTTCCTAGAACGGTGAAGGGATGACACTCCCTACACTGTCTCTGACTGGCTAATATGCCAGAGTAGTCTTACATGTCTCTGTTTATAAAAGAGGCCGTTTATTATTTGCTTGACGGGTCACTTAAAAAATATTTGTTGGAAAAATGAAGACAGCATAATACCCACTTCTTTAGACGCCACTACACTACTGGCGGTACCTATCTGAAATGCTATCTCAACCTACCTTTGGATGAATCCAGAAACATGCAAAGAGGTGGAGTTGAGGCTGGTCAAACCGCTACAGTAATAATTGTCATTCCTTTTTTTGGTATCACCTTCAAATGCAAGGGTTAAAGTGCTTTTTGCAGACGCACACATGAACAAGAATCAAGCATAAGAACCCAAACGCAACTGAACCTAAACAACAACAACAAAACATGTTAACAGCAAGAGAAGCCACACAAAAATGATACCAGCATAATTATCAAAACATGACAAGAACCCAAGCATCACTGGAAACCAGCCACATAAATGTAGACCAGTGGGTCCAAATGTAGGAATATGTAACAATTAAAATAAATAGAATAAAACGACAAAAAAAGCAATAAAAAGGTCACACAATAAAACAAGATAAGATAATTAAAAAGAGATACAAACAATTAGAAAACAGTTAAAAGCTGTAAAATAAATAAAAGCATTTACATAAACAATGCGTCAGTCAATTCCCAAATGATGCAAATTTATGAATAACTCTTAGGCTTACTATGTAAAATAAGTTATGAAAAATGTAACCCCTGTACAGTGTGTACCAATAAAAAAACAAACTATTCATACCAAAAGCTTTTTCTTTACAAGGATGTAAATATGGTTATTTCTGCTGTAAAATTGGCATTTTAATACAGGACCTAATAGGGACTCCTTCGCTTGTGGAGCCACCCTCAAGTGGACACTTGAGGAACTGCAGGGCTTTTTTCTGATTGGCTTCACTTTCATTGTGGTCCTTTCTTTTTCTTTCACCAGCATTTTTTTCATTAACAATATACTGAGCAGAGCATTGTCTAAAAAGTCTTTATTTGCAGAACCATGTCATGAATATCAGGTTCTATAGATCGTCAATACTGAACCTCAAAGCATTCAAAAGTGTCTTTAAACCATTGTCTGGATTTATTTCCTGATTCAAATTGATGCAGAAGCTGCTCCGAGCATCTGTTGAAAGAATAAGTGTCAGAGATGGATTGTACATAATTGGAAAAAAAAATGTTTAGCTGGAACAAATTTCCCATTTGTTCGGGACACTCCTGTCTCTATCAAATGAAGGTTTGTGTTCGGGTGCATGCACATTTTTTTGCACAATATTTGGCTCAAAAACACTCCCATCAAACTTCAGAAGTTGCGAGCAGGACCAGGGGGAGGATACGGCCAAAAAAAAAATCAAACATATGACAGGGTCAAGGGTGTGTGTGTGTGTGTGTGTGTGTGTGTGTGTGTGTGTGTGTGTGTGTGTGTGTGTGTGTGTGTGTGTGTGTGTGTGTGTGTGTGTGTGTGTGTGTGTGTGTGTGTGTGTGTGTGTGTGTGTGTGTGTGCGTGCGTGTGTGTGAAGGGAAAAAGCAGAAGAGAGGAGAGAGAATGAAAGAGGAAAGCCACTGACTAGCTGCTGGCGAGCGATGTTAATAGCCCGTCGTTTTTTTTTTTTTTTTCTGGTTTCTTCTCTCTCTGCAGCAGCTGTATGCCGCCCAGCTGGCGAGCATGCAGATCTCACCGGGAGCCAAGATGACTCCCCTCCCGCAGGCTCCAAACTCCTCCGGGCCTCTCTCCCCCTCGGCTCTGAAGAGCGAGAAGCGAGCGTCCAGTCCTGTCACTCACATTAAGGTGAGTCCAAAGTTGTAAATGTTACAAAATCTTTTCTGTTGAATGTTTTTATTTTTTTAAAAGCAATTTGACAGAATTTTATTATCTTGGTGACTTTGTGATTCATGGCTGATTTAACTTTAAGCAAGAGGCAGAAATAATTTCAAGAAACAAGCAACAAGGAATCACATGGCAGTTTATTAATGTAAAAATCTCTATGGTGAATACACAAACAGACAACACAAGAAGACAAGGAGGGTGAGTTCAGTTTATTTATGAAAGGAAAACACAAGGATAGTAATGATGATGATGATCAGCTGAGTAAAAGTGAGAGGCTGGAAATTTGGTGAAACAACGATTTGTGCTTGACGGCAAAGAGTCGATTAGAAACAGCTTATTTAAAAGTCACAAAAACACACACACACACACATGAACTGACACTGGCGCTGGCTGCTGTTTGGCAGGAGCCCAGACTACTTCACTGGAGAGAGCGTACGCCTCATCTTTACTCGACGACGAGGCAGTAATGGAAGCCATGTGTGGGTGTAGATGTGTGTGTGTGTGTGTGTGTGTGTGTGTGTGTGTGTGTGTGTGTGTGGGGCACAGCTGCAGCAGGCGGGCGTCACAATAGACCGGCGTCAGAGCTCACCGCACTCAAACAGTAGTGCTGCACCATCCAAAACCACTGCGTACCCCCACACACTCCCCACCCCAGGCTACCCGGCCCTGCTTTGGCATGCCACCCGCAGACTGAGCCACCTTTTTCCCCCTGCACATCCTAAACTTTTTTTTCCTCCTGAAGTTCATCAAGCGACTCCACGTGCAGGAGTTATCATCATAACTAAATTACCTAGTCGTTGGATTCTCTTTAAAGCCCCATAAAATATAACGTGTAGAGTTCAAGGCTCATTAAGAAGTGAATCGGAAATTACCTACAGGGTTTTAGACCCTACACCAACACGTGGATGCAGCTGACAACTGGCTGAAAAAGGCGTTTAGAAAACTTTGTGTTAGGAGAAGACTTGGGCCTAAGAGGGGAAAGTGTTTGCACAAACTTATTTAAAGTTGGTCTAATCGATGGTTGTTTGGGCTTGTATTTGAATATAATCTTAACTGTATAAAGCCTTTAGATTTTCTCTGAATGGTTCTCTATAAATAAATCCGTCTTGCCTTGAATTGAGTGTATCATAAACTTTTAATTAGAAATTAAGGAGTCACACAAACAAAGGTGCCATTGTGTCGATGAAAAAAGTACCCTGCAGCTTTTCCCCCTTCAAGTTCACGGAGGTCAGCTGGCAGGGCTGATTGATCAGTCGGAATGAAATAGCACCTAAAGGAAAACATTGGACGTCATTTAAATCTGCCAGTGTGTTCAATCACACTTCCATTGAAGACCCATTGTCACAGCAGACACACATGGTAATGCCGAGACGTGTGCATGATACTTTTGAACTATGTTGATACCTGTTTCATGGAAACAGAAGTAGAAGTCCTAGGCACCCAATATTGGTTAATAACTTGTTTTTTAGTGCTGAAAAATGGCAAGCAAACTCTTGCACACTGTCTAAATTGCACAAATACGTTGGCAACAATTCAGTTTTTGCAGGAATTTAGACAGCGCTCTCTGCCTTGCGACAGCTTTTCTTAAAGAAATATGGCTGAAGGGTTTTAGGTTTAGGTTTTTTTTTAATTAAAATGAATTATTGTGCTTTTATTTAATTATTAGAAATAATGAAGAGACAGGACAGTTGATAGCGTCGGACATCAGGGAGAGAGAGAGAGCAGGGAATGACATGCAGGATAGAAGCAGGAAAGAAGCCACGGGTCGGATTCAAACCCGGGCTGCCCACCTCTGTACATGGGGCGCGCAAACTAACCACTTGGCCATCGGCGTCCCCTGAAGTTTATTTAAAAGCTTTAGAACTTTTTTGATACTATTGATCGCTAAAAACACAGATTGTATCGTTTTAAAACTCATGGTATTGAAAAAGTGTATTTACTCTCTAAAGCTTCTCTGAGAGTTCGACTTTTAGCAACAATCATATTGGTGTAGAAATGTTTTCTTAGTGCTCTCAGTTTACCTGCAGATGAACAAAGGAGAGTGGAAATATTCTGCATGACTGGGGTTTTTTAACACATATGTAATACTTTTTTCTGTCCTTAGTGAAAACAGTTTTGAAAGTGATCCATGTTAATACAGATCCTGGATTCATTAAACACTGTTCCTACTGTCTTAAACTAACAGGAGGAGGGATCCACACAGCCGTTGAACCTCTCAGCCAGACCCAAGACAGCTGACTCTCTCCGTCGCTCCCCGACGTCCCCGACACACGGTCTGTTCTCCGGAAACAAGACCAGTCCTTCAGGCATGGGCAAGGGCCGCATCCCGAGCCCCATCCCCGGCATGGGCAGGAACACCTCCCTTGGTAGGTTACAAACACACGCAGTAAGTCTTGTTTCAACCAAAAGTACCCATAGAACTGGAGATTCATTTCAGTGGAATAAAACTAAGACCCCACTGCAGGATCTTTCACAAGGGAGTACGGGTTAAAGGAGGTATTCAGTGTTTTTCTATAAAAGGGAACCAGGGTCGAATTTACCCCTGAAGTGGTCCATGCTAGGGCGTGAAGACGTGATGCAGTGCTGATCATTTCTGACTGGATGAGCACCAGCAGCATTTAGAAGATTTTTTTCCAACGTTAGCTGACAACTTTATCAATTCCACACAAACCTTTGTTGGTTGGTGGGAACCATGGACTGTATATTAAGATGGACCGAGCAACAGCCACCTGGGAGTGAGCAGTTGCCTGCCTTGCCTATTGACAAGCAGCGCCTCTGCCCAGTAAAAGAAAATGTTGTCGCTCAAAGACCATGATGCTTCATAAGAGGTGAAAATCAGGAATAGAAACACAAGGTTAAGTATACAACAAGAGAAACAGTCAAAGTGGCAGAGGTAGTGTTAAAACTGACCATAATCCTGTGATTTAACCCAACAAAGCTACCCCAAAGTTGCTGCACTTTAGGAAAGCGTAACCCCAGAGCAGAGACCTGTTTGGGGTTAAAATAAAACCCTTGGACTTTATTTAGATCCGTGTTCCCAAAGTGGAAACACAACAAGTTCCACCAGAAGTACTGAGTCCCTGAGGAAAGTTGGAAACATGACTATACATAGCCTTTAACATCAGTGTTTCCTTCACCGTTGGGTAAAGAGAATGGATTAGCACTGTACTAACAGAAGTGCATTAGCATGGGCTTCGCTGACATGTCCAAAAAGAATCACTGGGTATAAACGCTGCTTTACCATGCCAGAAACAAATTATGAGGGAAAGGTATGACGCACATGGCGATATCCATGTTCTCTCTCACACAACCAAACGCACTCATACACCGGTGTATTGTTCACTTCTGTACTGTACATCAATGCTCTGCAAAGACTTCCTCCCTCCAGTGTAGAGCCATGCCTTCCCCTCCACCGGAAAAACAAAAACATCACCCACCCAAACACCTCCCTCCTCCCTGCCACACACAGACAAACCCGAGCGGCGTCGCATGCGCCTGATAGACTGCAGACACCTCAACCCCACCAGCAGACCTGTGTGTGTTTGCTTTGTGTGTGCGTGTGTGTGTGTGTTTGTGTTTTACAGGAGTCCAAAGCCCTGTATTTAGCCCCAATGAAAACCCCGGCAGCGGAAGCAGTGAAACCCAGCACACGTTATTTGGTTTTTAAGAGCTTCCTCACATCATTGTCTGCCCGCGCTAGACCTTTTATGCCCCTACCTCTGCTATCTGTTATTAAGGCCAATCTAAAGCCTCTCATTATATCCCCCCAGAAAACAATTTCACCAGCTCCTCTGGAGTGGCTTTGAGGACGCGTCGTTGTGTTATTTTTTGCCCATGTTAACGGCCACCCAAGCATACAGGGCTTCCTACCCGTCTGCTAATTAAACCAAAGAGGGCAATGGAAACTTTGCATCCTTTTATTTCTTTTTTTTCTTCTCATTCTTCAAGTGTGCATCAGCCTCAGAAGTGTGAAGCACAGCGTGTAAACAAGTGGGCGGAGGTTTTGTCAAGTTTGGGTACAAGTGGACTGGAAAACAACTTTGGCAGCATTTAGCTTTGATACCAAACTGTGAAAAAAAAAAGCAATTTTACAAACAGATGTTTAAATGTGTTTGGCCTTTACAGATTATTAAGATCAACACTTTCTTTTCTCTTTGTTTTCAAAGCATCAGACTCAAAACTTTCTGTTATCTTAAAACCAGTTACAAAGGAAAACAGTCGACATTAAGGGTGCCAAAGAGGACTTCTTGGACTTGTTAGTGCTGATGGTTCAGGTCTCAAGAACCAGTTTTCAGTACTGGTTTTGTAAATGTTGTAAAACTTTGTGTTCATTTGATGTACAGTATGTGTGTTTTTAATAGTGTTTCATTTGACAATTTGTTTAAATGTCTTACCTCTGTGTGGACACATTTCTGCCTTTGCATGCAAAAGTAAAGTACACAATGTTTTCTTTCCTATTCAAAAAACAAAAAAAAAAGTCAAATTGATAATGAAGTAAGGAAGGAACTTTTCTAAAGTCCTGCAAACCTTAACTCTCAGTTTTAGAATGAGAAAAGGGATCCACATTAACAAGCAATATGCTGCAAAATTAGGAGGCATTTTCAAATTATTAAATGAGAGAAAGAGGCTTTGTTTGAAAAAAATCCATGTAAAGCTAGTTTTGAGCAGTTATCCAGAATGTGACACAGATCCATCAGGCAGGATCTCGTCTTGTAGGGTCTGCAAGAGTCTGAGGGCCCTCACAGCGAACGCTCAGTCACCTTAGATCATAGGCAGTGACATCCCAACTCCCAAATGTTACACCCAGGGTTTGATGTTTCTTTTTATCCTTAAAGGAAAAGCCTCTCAAACACTCTTTTCCTGCCAGTCAAAGTAACTGACAGTTTTCCCTCTCTCCTCCTCCTCGCAGACATCCTGTCCAGCCTCAACTCCACGGCGCTGTTCGGGGATCAGGACGCTGTGATGAAGGCCATCCAGGAGGCGAGGAGCATGAGGGAGCAGATCCAGAGGGAGCAGCTCCACCACCACCACCACCAGCAGCAGCAGCAGCAGCAGCAGCCGGGGCACCAGAGTTTGGAGGCCAAACTGACGGCACTGAGCAGCATGAGCCTCAACAACGGCAACAAGGTCAGAGACAGAGAGACACATGGACAGATCACATGTAGCCGCACATCAGAGGACACACAGGCATGTCTCACTGATAAGAATCACATGGGCTAAATGCAGTTTTCAAAGGCATTTTCTTTCATGTGGAGAAAGAATTCTGATTGAAACGGTGAAACACACACACACACACACAAGCTCCACCGAGACCAGGATGCACATACTGCACAGTGCATGTGACACACATCAACTGTACTTTTACAGGAGGTACAACGAGGCTTTTTCTGCTTCTTTTTCAGTACACTTTTGTCAGCTTTAATGAATTTCTTCTTGATAGATAAATATGTTACGCTCATGAAAAAAAATGTGGTCATCTTTGTAGAGATGCATATTCAGGATGAATGCGCTCAACGCTGTGTCGAAATAAAACAAAAGTAGGTTCACTCCGACGAGGTTATAACTCCTCAATGAAAGTAATGAGACGCTTTTTTAAAGAGGAGGAACTTTTGATGCTTGTGGACCTGTTAGTCACAATCATTCTCTGCTTTGAATCACATTTGACAACTTTACAAAGGCTCACTCAAGCTGCAGAGAAGATTTTTGCACTTCTCGACTTTAAGATTTTGTGGCTTCCATTTTTTTTTTTAATCTTTAAGGAGATTGTTAGTTCTTAATAAATTGAAAATTCATAACAACACTGAAAATCATATACACCTAAACATAAACATACAAAACATACAGTTGCAAAAATATTATTCAAAAACTTAAAAAAAAAAAAATCTGACTCAATTTACAACCATACAAAAACACGAGTCAGACTTCTGATTCGCTCTCTTTGGTCCTGAGATTATTACCAAATTTTGAATTAAGTCTTTTATTTTATATTTTGACATTTTAATATTCATACTTCTCCTTCTGTAAAAGATGTGAAAACACAATAAAAAACACAATTTTCTTCTCCATGCACACACACAAACACACACACACACACACACACACACACACACACACACACATTTCAGTCCAAACACCTCGTTCCTATCCTAGAATTTTTCCAGTACTTTTAAGTCGAGTGTTTTCACTTTGGGCTGAACTCGTGCACGAGTCTGCAGGGTGCTCGTGGATGATATTCGGTGTTATTTGGCCCGGCCTGCAGCTCTTCAGGACTTTTCTCTCCTCTTCTCTCGTCCGCACGGCCACCCAGAAGCCCACGGCTTTGAAGAGCGAGCAGCTGGGCCAATGACAAGTGATTGTTTTGGCGTGTCTGTGTGTGTGTCGGTGTGTCGGTGTGTCGGTGTGTGTGTGTGTGTGTGTGTGTGTGTGTGCATGCCTGGACTGGGACAGAGTGAGTGTTTCTTCGGAGAAGAGATGGTGTTAACATTAATATGTGTGTGTGTATCTGTGTGTGTATAATGGAGTCCAGCTCTCCTCTTGCCCTGGAGGGGGGTTCCCGGCCTCGGGGTTTCAGCCCAATTAAAGGGTCCTGCTCTGGGTAGGGACCCCCCCTCCTGCTCTGTGCTCATCTCTCCCCACGGGCTGGAGGAGACAGACCCTTTGTACCCGGATCTCATATCCGGAGGGAAATCCATATTTCCAAAACATCTTCAATCAGTGTGATCAGCCAGTCAGTAAAACAGGGAGCGGGATTAGACCGCCTCTCCTGCCCAATTGATCCCATGCTGCTTGTGAGGATGAGGAGGCGGAGGAGGAGAGGAACTTATGAATATTTTAGGGGTGGAGACTTTGAACCCCACCAACCCCCAAGTAGGTCATGATTGGTGCACTCCAAGGATATGCTGTTTTTGAATCTTTTGGACTTGTTTGCGCTGCATCTTCACGAGGAAAACATCCAAAAATCTGGCAAAAAATATCTTTGCTGTGCTCATCTGAAGTCCCAAGTGGAGTTTTTTATAAGTCATTATACTCGTAAACACTGAGAAACTCATAAATATAAATTATACAACAGCCTAAACTAATAAATTGTTAATTAAAATGTAATGTGAGTTGTCTGCCACAGGTCTGGTAAAAATAAACCAAATAAGTTTTTGAGCTTAGAGGAGCTTTTTGCACACTGAGAACTCTAAAAAAGATTAAGGTGAGCGAGTCACAGGGAGAGCCCTTTGTGCTCCTCCAGCTCTATATTTTCCAACTTTATAAGAACAAAACCAAAGCAACGCAGTAATTTGGTTTATAGCTCCATGCCTCCTAATAAAAAGCTCATTTGGAAAGTCTCAAAGTAATTGTTTCCGGTTGGAGGATGACAGCAGGCCTCTGTGTTTGTTGTCAGTTTGTTATTCGTTACCTAACAACTGCAGCTCAAAGACTCTTTCTCTCTGCTTTCATTTTTTTACTTCAGAAGGAGAAGTTTTTTTGTGTGTGTGTGGGTGATTTTTTCTTCTTCTAAAGCGCTCAAAAGGCTTCGCTCTGTCTTAAACAATTCATGGATGGAACTTGCTGGATGCTACGAGTGTGACTCAGCCGCTCCACCTCGGGAGGCAATGAGAGCAGCTCTTTCTCTTTACCTTGGATTTGTGTGTTGTTTTTCTGTTTGCAGAATAAATGTGTTACTCAGATCTTCCCTTCAGACTCTTTGAGCCTCTGCCCGGGCCGTCTTTTTTTTTGTTCTATGACATTGTGTTAACGCAGCAATATTTTTGTCAGAGAGAACGAGACAACTGCTGCAAACGGTATCTCGGTGAAATATTGAATGTTGAGCTATTTATTGCCCGTGCTGATTCGACTCAAAGGGAGACGTGTGATGACATCTGAGTGTGTGTTTGTGATTATTGCGGTCTCTGTTTGTGTATTTTTGTCCCGTGGCGTTCATTTCAGACATACAAAACATAGACGTTTTCCCTTAGAGCTGAAAGTGATCCTGGGCTTCTTTGTGTGTGTGTGTGTGTGTGTGTGTGTGTGTGTGTGTGTGTGTGTGTGTGTGTGTGTGTGTGTGTGTGTGTGTTGTGTGTGTGTGTGTGTGTGTCCTGGCTCTGCACTGGCCTTGGCCATGTTAATGTCATTATAGCTGGTGTACAGACGAGAGGCCTGGCCAGTTAGTGGCATTGTTGAGTATCACCTTACGCTTACGTTGCTTCCAGCTGGCCTGCGGCTGCCAAGGCTCACTGAAATAGCCCCTGTGTACGACTCTGTGTGCATGTATGTGTGCAATGTCTACCTCTTTTTTTTTTTATTCAAACAGAACTCCTGAAGCCCCCTGAAAGAAGTTTAGAGAAACTGGAGCAAAAAAACAACAACACAAAGATCAACCTAATCTTAACTTGTAATTGTTAGAATCTAAAAGTGTTGAAGTGTAAAAGTCTGCATTCTAAGTTTTCATAAACACATGACGAGTTTGCTCAGGTAAAGTTGACATGAAACCTGATAGAAAAACAATACACAGCTTCAAACCAAGAGGGACTTCTTTTCCTGTTTCCAGATGGGGGGGGGGGGGGGTTGGGGCATGGTGGGTGATGGCAGACTGAGTGCAGGTAAAACTACAGGAGCACTAAAGACAATCTGTATGCTCACTCTGATTGTGGCTGTGCTTATTATCACTCAACAGCTGATTCAAAACATGCATGCAAAAGGATAGGGATCTGTGGATTTTAACATAACCATTAAGTGTTAAAAGTGTAAAGGTCTCTTTATGTGAGGTAATTCATTTTGCATAGAAAGTAAAAATACAAAAAGCAGCTCAGGATGATTTGCTGAAATGTGCTCCAGAAAAATGTGCAGATTCCACAGCAGCTTTAAAAGTGGGTTTTTCGAGTTAAGACTCTTTGGCAGAAATAAAACAAAATACAAGAATTACATGTTTTTGTCTGTAAATTAGTGAGAAAGGAAAGGGAAAGTGAACAATCAAGACATAAGGACACAATAAATCTCAGCCTTTCACTCTTTAAAAAGAGGAGATTGAAACTTAATCTTCCAAAAGTACCGGTAAATCTGCCATCAAAAATCTTATTATCCTCACCACACTATTTAGAAGAAGCCTAACTGTTTATATTTGTTGGTATGTTAGTATTTTTACTTGAGCATAGACAATCCTCTCAGACTTACATTTTTGTCTTTCTTTCTTAACTTTTCTGCAGTTTTGAAACTGACCAGATCTCTTGAATGCAGCTCATTACAGAGACATGTCTTTTGTCTGAACCCCGGTGAATTGAGCTGCAGTTTGTGTTGTTGGAGCAGAGCGAGTCTGGAAGGAGGCGAGGAGGCAGGAAACAGTTGTATAGACGTTTATATTGGCTCTGCTGCTGAGTTTGGTCTTTGTAGGAAGCGAGCCTGTGAAACTGACGGATCCGACGCCTCCAAGTCTTGATTAAAGGTCGACGTAATGTGGCTGGATTTGAAGCCTGAATGACATACATTATAATAATGTACACGACAAAGCTCAGTCTGGCACCTGCAGACACACTCTTGAAGGTCTGCTTGTATGGAGCTGGAGCCTTGGCGGGCAGTGGGCTGCTGTTGGTGGTGGTGGGGTGTTAAGGGCTCTGAATAGGAGGAATGGTGAAAAGGAGAAAGAAGGACTAAAACAGAACTGAGGGCTGATTGACAGCTCTATCGCTGCACGGAGAAGTCTGGAGAGCAAAAAAAAAAAAAAAAAAAGAAAGATGAAGGAAATGGGGAGAGAGAGGAAAGGGGCGGGAGCGGGTGAAGAGGGTTGCCAAACTTGATTGGTCCGGGAGGAGACAGTAAACGGTTGTGGGTCAGCTGGAGGCACGCCGTGCTGGCGGTTGGCGAGTTGTAACTGTGGTAATGAGCTCAATACGGTGTGGATTTAGGGGGGGGAAGAAGTGTTTGGAGCGTTACCTTAGAAACGTTGGAGAGATGCAAACGCCAAGAAGAGGAGAGACCAGGCGGAACGAACAGAGTCGGGTGTCTCTTAAATGTAGAAATATACATTCAGCAGCGTGTTTAGAGCCAGTGAAAGCATCAGCGTGTTAAACACAGTGAAGCTGCACAGAGGTGATTTGTTTCTGCAGAGTCACTGTTTTGAATTGAATATCAGCCTCCTTTTAGCTACCTGGTTTTATCCTGTATTTTTAATTAGTCGTCAGTCTTCTTCTGGTTTAAATTCATCTGTGCCCCTGTGCATGGCCTTTGTTTTGTTTAATTCATGAAGTCCTTGGTTGGAGTTACATTCTCTGCTTCGAAGTGAAGTGCCACTCGCTTCTTTAGCTCCAATTCAGACCTGTGTTATATAGTAATATAATGCCAGGCGTGTGATAGGTAGGTTTTATGTTCTCCAAGCCTTTCAGAGTGAGCAGTGCAGGATAAAAGTTGGATTACTGAATACTGTGCTTTATTCTTTACTGTGAATTCCTCAGCACCACGGCTACTGAACCGCTGATATTTTGTTTAACCAGGTAATCAGAAGAAAAAGACAAAAGCGTTGAGGGGAGCACAATGCAACAGGAGACAGAACGAGTCCTGTAATGCTGCTCCAGAAGGCAGCGGTCCAGAATCAAACCAGCAGGCGCACATGCCAAACCTATTTCAATCTCTCCTAAACAAAGCAAAGACAGCTCCTTACTGTGTCTGCCACAAGAACTTTCAAGTCGACCAAAAGTAGACCAACCGCAGGGAGGATTTGCAAATTTTGACCCGGGTCTGCTGTTAATCTGCATTTTGGATCAGTCCGCCTCTATTGATGCCGTCCTCGTGCAGTTTCCAAACTCTGCTGCACATTGGTTTTCCATCCAGTCTCCTCCCATTCAGCAAGAGCTTTCTGACATTTCTAACCAGTTTGAATTTTTTTTGGAAATTGTTCTCGTCTAATATCCCTGCAGATTATCTAAACACAACATGGAAAAGCTGCACGTTTGGGATCATTTTGAGAACTTATAATGTGATCTCTGCTAACCTGCAGCACCAAACTTTGACTTCCAGACATCTGAGTGCATCATCATGAGCGATGAGTGCTTTCCCAGGCTCTTGTTTAGCACCAGGGGCGTAAAAGAAAGACTTCTCAGTGCCTTATTCTAGTCTCAGGACAAGTTTTCCATCCACTCTTCTTCCTTTTTTTTCTCTATCTCTCCTCTGTCTCTCTCTTTTCCTCTCTTTTCTTTAGTCCTTTGTTAGGCGGTTGCTTCCTGCGGTGAGCATGGCACTGCCCAGGCACATGTTCTGCGGTGGGCCTGATTACAGCCCTGCCGTAGTGCTGACATTGGCCCGCGCCGACTCCTCATCTATAAACACACACACATTCACACACACGCACACACATTCTCCTATGAACACACACACCGGCCCCTAAGTTCCACCGACTCTGCCAGCGGCTACCGCGGCATGACTTCACCCGACAACCATTTCTTGCGTCAAACAAAATGCCTCTGTCACCAGAAAAAGGAGGAGAGCAGAAAGAGGGGAGGGAGGGAGCGAGGGAGAGGAGGAGTGGAGCTGCGCGGAGGGTTCGATGTTTTCCACCACAATTTGGGAGCGTGGTGGAGTAATTTTAGCCGGGCGGCCCCGAGGCAGGCTGCTGGTAGAAGTGATTTGTCTCAGAAGTGGAGTGGCAGGCAGACATAGAATCAGAGTGGGAGCATGATGATGATGATGATGATGATGATGGTGGGAGGGAGGAGAAGACACTGATGATTAGCATGGACGTAATGGAGACATGACTTGTGTGCAAGTTGTCACATAACAAATATCACATCTCACTTATTTCAGACACTTAAAAAAAGCTCAGGAGTGACGCTGCAGCCAAAAAAAATAGTCACCATGCCGTTTTTTTTAGGGGGCTCTGCTGGACTTCCCTCCATGCCAACTCAAACCAGCAATTAGTTTTATTGTCACCACCATCAAAGTCGTCCCTAGTGACCCAATTTAAAAGATGCCTGGCATACACAGGGACCCGCTCCAGACATTAAGTAATAAGCAGTGAATAGGAATAAAAAGATGTATTTTTTGGCAGCCAACGTCACATTTATTCAGCTTTGGCTGCAGCGGCATCATTTTCTCTGCTTGCTTGAATTAACCTTTTTTTTTTTTTTTACTCATGTTGCAGGAGCGGCTGCACTACGAAACGCTGAGCCAGCACCTGGGAAAGCTCGGGGAGGATGCTGGGAAGATGGTACATCGAGTCATTGACCTGACGAGACCAGAGGACTTGGATGGTAAGCGCCTTCGTTGCCCAAAAAGACATCATCTTAACGTTTTTCTTCTTTTTCCATCACAGTTCTCTTTGTAGCTTTCCCTAAAGTTCCTCTCTCGGTATATTTCTGATGGGACATAATGCTGCTCCCTCAAATTATTCTCTGTATCATGTTGATATTAGCGAGATAAAATATGACATGGCGTTCATTTACCATCATTGTTTTGAAGCACTCTCTGCTGTGGTCGCTCTCGATGATGAAGCTGCTCTGTTACATGTCATGGTCATCACTTCCTGTTTGCTCCCTTAAACGCTGTAACGCTTTAAAACCACACACTGGGGCAATATATGTAACACCGTTACATTATACACTCTAAAAGCACAAAAGGCTTTTCTCTCTTGACCTCCTAATTTCTGCATACTGATCATCGTGGTAGTCTGAAGGCTTAGCTGGAGGGATCTACATGGAAAGAGTTTGAGAAGCAGAGTAAGAAGCGTTCATATCCTGTTCAGACTGAATTGATACCAGTGACTCTTAACTCGGTGGGCCCCTAACAAAGAGGAGGCACCTCCTGCCTGAAGTCTTGCATCCCAAAAAAAGAAGAAGGCAAGAACATGCAGGTATTCAGCGAACACAAATATTTATTGTGCTCCTCAGGAAGCGACACTGAAGGTCACCCTCCACAGCTAAACAGAGTCTTCAATGTCAACATTTTACTCTCTTGGACATTTATTCACTCTGTTATTATTCCTGCAAGTAGATATCAAGAGTCTGAACACTGCTTTTCTTTTCACCATGAGTCTCATTCAGTGTGAGTATGCAAAGAAAAGAAGGAGACGACCGGCATCTAGAAGACAGGAAGTTTGGAAGAAATAGTGAAACTTTTGGAGCTGGTTTAGCTCAGTTGGTAGAGCATACACTCAGAGGCTACAGTTCTCACGTTTAATTATAACTGTTCTCAGGTTTTCAGAGTCAGGTGCTCAGGTTTCCACTGTTCTATCAATCAAGGCCAAAAGGCAAAACAAATGTTTAAATTCTTATACATCAGAAGTTAAGAGTCACATTCAGCATTAACTAAAAAATAAGTAATATTGACCATCATCATAGAAGACCATGTGGTTTAAGTATAGACTGTAAGTAGTAGTGAACAAAGCCTGAGTGATGACAATCATTCGTTCCTGAAGGGCTGTTTTGGAAGTCTATCCATGGCGGTTGCCATACTGGAAATGCTGACAAACGTTTAGTCAACCTAATGACAGGCACAGAGCTGGAGCTGAGGAGAGCTTCAAGCCTCTAACTGCTTGCTGTCAGATCCACCTCGCCCCTATTCATGCATAACTCATATCCTTCATAAAATCAAAATGTGGAATTATAAATAAAAATAAAAAAAACATCTCCTGTACAGTGTGTGCAGATCAAGACATTGACTAATAACACTAAATTTGTTTTTGTACCAGGCTGTATACATGTTAGTTTCTGCAGCTCGGTGCAGTTCAGTCATTCTGTTTAAGTGTCTTTCTTTTTCTTCCAAACACACCTGTGGCTCATAAAGCAGCTCTGTTTACAGGAGCACAGTGCTCATTGTGGTTTAGTTTACAATCAGAGGAGTAAACATGAGAGCAGAGCGCTGAGACATGATCAGGCTGACAATGGTGACTTTAGTTAATGTGTGTTTCTATGAGGACCCCCCCCCCCCCATCCATATGGACCTATCTCAGACTGTACATCCCCTCCCTGGGAGGTCAAGAGGCCTGAGGAGGAGGAAAACAAACAGGAAGGACTCTTCCTCAACATTTGAACATCCTGCATGTAAAGAGTGAAAGTATGAAAGATGAACGTGTGCATGTTGGGCCTTTAAGAAAAGTTCTTCCCCTGTGTCACACAGGGAATAACATCACAGAGGCCCGAGTGTTCAGGGAGGCGCGGGGCAGGAACACCGCGGAGCCGCACATCAAGAGGCCCATGAACGCCTTCATGGTGTGGGCCAAAGACGAGAGGAGAAAGATCCTGCAGACCTTCCCCGACATGCACAACTCCAACATCAGCAAGATCCTCGGTGAGACACAGTGCTGAGAGATGCATCTTGTTTTCTACTAACTTGTGGTTCTGACTTGATATGTATGTTTAGGAATCAACCAATCAACCAATAATCTTTATTTGTATAGCGCCTATTCATAACGAGTGTTTCCTTAAGACACTTTACAAAAACCTTACTCTTTGCTATATTATATAGATTATATAATAGATATATTATATAGTTCAAAGACCCAGCACTAATCCATCATGAGCACAAAAGTTACAGTGGCAAGAAAAAAATCCTTTCAAGAGGCAGAACTCGGCAAATCCAGGCTCAAACTGCGCTGGGCTGGACAATGGAATAGAGGGAGATGTGATAAGATGCAGGTAGAAGGATAGGGAACAAAGGTCGTTTAGGCAGACCGTCCACCAACGATCCTGACGAAGATTCATCTAATTTTTGTCTTTTTTTTTTGTTGGGGAGATTTACTTTTCCCAAAGAACACATGTATTTTTTAGAGGCATTATAGAAAACTGGTGAAACTAGGAGAAGAAAAAAAAATACAAAAATGCCACTGAAAATGGAAAGTAAACTCCTAGTTGTTTTTGGACAGACGTGGGAAGATAAGAAGCGGCCTATTTGTACTAAACTCTCCGGACTTTCTGTTAGGGGTCGATGTTTCTAAAAACAAGAGGAGATCAGGATTTGTAAACTGCTCTTCCAACATATTTAACAGATTTTTGGATGATTGTGGTTCATGCAATTGTTTAATTTGTTTTAAATAATCTCATAAGAACTCTAGCTTTGCTGTTCTTAAATTAGTAAAATGAAAGCTAACAGGTATAAACACATAAACACAACTCATCAACAAACTGATATCTGTGCAGAAGTTCTGCCTCCTCCTCCTCCTCCTCCTCTCCGATTCAGCGCGTTACAACAGTTCACTGAGTTTCTTAAAGGCGTACTGCCCACTATAAGAAAGATCAGTGTGTTTTTAAAAACCTGGAACACTTCACACACAGACCTCCTCTGTGTCCGCCTGACCACTGTGATGGATGCATTCAGTTAAAAAGTCGCCGTGTTGACACTAACCTCCACCGACACAGATAGCCATTCACACGGTGCCGAGCGTGACGGTTTGTTCGTAAAATGCTCTTAAGACCTCCACTGTCCCGTGCAGGGCTCCAGTCGAGATGCGGGGTCGCTGGATGTAAAGCTACATTTAAAAAAATGCTGTTTCTGAGCCGTGTCTGTGAAAAGGAACGTTGATGGAGCTCGAATAAAGACGCGTTTGTTTTTAGAGTAATAATTCATGCAGAGGTTTGACTAAGATCATCTGAGTTAAAGTCACATATTCATGACCTTTTTCTTTAAGTAGTCACCGTGAATGTGATAAAAAGCCATGTTTATCGTCACACTGAATAGTAGAAATACGTCCTCTTTCCGAGCCTTTCATAGAAACTCACAGCAGGATTTGAAGTGCACAAGTGTGCTGGTGTAAATGCTTACATGTGTACAACCCTTGCCCCTCCAACATAATAACACAGCTGGACTCTGAGGAGTGGGTGGCAGGCTCAACAAAACCTCCTCTCTGTTTCCTGTGTCACAAAAGTGCACGTCCAAGTTTGCGATAAACCTTGATAAACAGAGTGTGTATAATCAGCTGTGAGAGTGCTTCACAGACGCGTTTGCGTTCCTGCGGTAATGGCCCCGTCCGCTCGTTTAGAAGCTCCTCTCACCGAGGAACACGAGAAGTACACAATGTTTCATTCTTCAGCAGCCGAGAGGACGCAGAGAGCGATTGACTCTGGGTCTGAGCAGCCTCCTCGGTTAGGGACATGATACTGTCTGTTCAAATGACAACATTCAACATGGAGAAACCGGCGGTGGTGCTGACGTTTTTTCTGTGATTACCGCCGCGCTGCGACTCTTTTGATGATTGAATTCATGTGACAATGATATGACAGTGTGTTGGCTTTGTAGAGGGACCCATTCAGAGCTTATTACATATATTTTACCACATCATTTGTGCCTAAAGAGAATCACTGAAGCAGCTTAGAGACACATGTCAAACCTTTTTCAATCACTCTCTAAATCTCCCTAAATGAAAGAAGGCTAACATTTAGTCTGTAATGTTTTTCTGTCAAAGTTCAGCTTCCTGTAAAACTTGAATCCAAACATATGGTGACAAAAGATCATGCTATTCTCAAATGTTCTGGACTACTAGCATAAATAAAGTCTCATCTGAAAGTTAAAACTATATAGGTTCAGAATGTGCGCCACAGTGCGTGGTCTGACTGGCTTAAAAAAACGTCTTCCTGCTTTCAGGATGCGAGCATATTCACATTTTGAAAATCACATTGGCTACGAGACACATCGGCTGGATCTCTTACGGGTTGGTCTTTGTCCATTAATTGACCTTTTTTGTTTTGGGAGTGCTAATTTCTTTTCCAACCTTGGTATCACCTGTTTTTTGTCGTTCACAGTGCTTTCAGTTGAGAACATCCCCACACTTTTCAATGACCCTCACCAACAATTAAACCATTATAAATCAAAATGGGGTGGGAACTCCAAAGTGTGTCAACCCTAATGGAGAAGGAGAAGCTAATCCTTCGCTCGCACACTTTTTTATTTTATGCACCAAGACTCACTTTTTCCAGGGTACCACTTCAAGTCCAGAGTTGCTGCTAATGCCAGGCCAAGCTTTCATTCTCCTGCTCTGCGTTTAATTTGTAAAATTACCTTAAATGAAATAAAATACTCAGCATAAGGAACAATTAAAAACACTAAACTAGAGGTCACGTGCGCTGCCATCGTAAAGAAGATCGCCATTAAAGAACGCAGGCTCTGAAGTCTTTACTATCCGATCAACACAAAAGTGATTAAGCCTTTAACCCCTGGATAGCAGCACTTGTATTTGCAGTATTATTTTGTAAAATGGACCGAGTATCAAGTCAATTTCTCAGGAACAAAAATCACAATCAGTTACCCGATAGTGGTTTGTCAGAGATTAGGCAGAAATGTGTGTTTGCTTTCTCTGGTTGTTGCTGAATTGCAGGTAACCTGTTACTATGTGTAGTAGTTTAAAACAGCATTGAGTGAATTCAAAACAGTCAGTGAGATCTCTGTCAGATGAAGGTTCTCAAACACACTTCAAATTTACTGCTTCATGTCAAAGACGCTGCAACGAGACAAAAACTCAGATCTTTGAGATTTCTACTTTTAGACACAAAGGAATAAATGAAATAAAAAAAACCTAACGTCGATCATTTGCTTCAGGCTCTCGCTGGAAATCCATGACCAACCAGGAGAAGCAGCCGTACTACGAGGAGCAGGCCCGCCTGAGCAAGATCCATCTGGAGAAATACCCCAACTACAAGTACAAGCCGAGGCCCAAGAGGACCTGTATCATCGACGGCAAGAAGCTGCGGATCGGAGAGTACAAGCAGATGATGCGGTCACGACGGCAGGAGATGAGGCAGTTCTTTGTGGGGTGAGTTCAAGTGTGGGTGCTAAGGTGTCCTTGAACATCCCAGATGACTTTCTATAAATTTGGTGAATCATTTTTGTTTTTTTAAATTTGAGCTGTTGGTTTAGAAAGGACTCTTCATTCATGAGGAAACCACTTAATCACAGTCTCACACTGAATAAGCCAAACTCTTGAAAGTTTGAAAACATCTACTAAAACACAATGATCGATTTATGAAAAGGCGTTCTCCGTTAAAACAATTTTTCAAGAACAAGGTTTACTTTCAGATTTAACATCCTCACCATACTCCTCTTCTTTGATGCATCGCACATATTGTTAGAAAGAATTCTGAGCATGTGTGAAGAGTGGGCCCCGTGTATCGACAGCCATGAGCCTTTGATCATCATTTTTTATTCTTCCTAAAAAAGAGATTCATTTCACGCTGTTCCCGTGACCTTTGACGTGCTCTTTCATGAACATGCCGCACTCTCTCACCTCTGGCCTGAGTGAGGATGTTACAGCGACGAGGCAAGACAAAGCCACAATGTGTTATCATCCAATGCTTTTTATTTTGACATAACGCTGCTTTGTAGGTTTGAAATTCCAAAAATCCACAAGCTGCGGTACAACACGACATCTTCAGATCCAGTACCTGCAGAGGAGCTTTTTTAACTCTTAATAAGTGCATAATAAAGTATTTATTAACCTTTATAAGGCATTAATATGAACCTAATAAAGTCTTATCAATGTCAATAAACATCTTATGAATGTTGATAAGTGGTCTATAAACAAGTTTCTTTGTGTTAACTAATATCGCACAAGCCAATTATAAATTAATTTATAGTTTAATTAACACTCATGAAGTCTTATTAATGTTTATGAAGGTATATAAAGTGTTACCCTCTTTTCTTAACCCGCAGAGGGCGCTACCTGCCTTTGGCTTCTCTTGTTTGACATGATTATCTGCAGAATAAACACTTGGCGGGCGTGCAGGTGGCGCAGTGGTTAGTGCCCATGTATGGAGGCTGTCGTCCTCAAATCGAATCCCACCTGTGGCTCCTTTCCCGCATCCTCATCTCTCTCTCTCTCTCCCTGATTTCTGACTCTATCCACTGTCCTGTCTCTACATTAAAGGCACAAAAAACCCAAAAATAAATCTTAAAAAAATAAACACATGGCGGAAGAGCGTGAAGATTCAGCAGCATTCAGCAAAAGTACCGTCTTGTTTCAAAGTGTAGAGTGTGGCAGCACAGAATGGATGAGACATAAACAATGTTTGTGCAAATAGCTAAAGACGGATGAACAGCACAGATAGCACAACTAACATGATGCAGCGTGGAGAGGCTCCAGACGCCAAACATTTCCTTGTTACATACGCCGAGAAGAAGCCCCCAGAGTTTCTTTTTATTGAGAAGTCAGTGCGGCGAGGGGAAAAACAGTGGCATTGTCTTAATGGGAACCAGCTTTGGATGTGTTTAAAGCCATCACAGCAGCCTGTGTTTGAGATGGATTTACCAGAGGGCTTTGAATAGGAGTGATTTTTAATAGCTTGTCATTTATTAAATTAGGACAATGGCGGGCGCTTGCGGGCAGTGAAATTGGACACAGACAGACATGGTGGAATATGAAATGTAAGCAGATGTTTGAGCCGGAGCGAGAGAGAGAGAGGTAGACGTCACATGCTGAACGCCACATTTACTGCGTGTGGTCAAGCAAATGTAAAAAAACAAAAAAAGCATACGATTCCCCCGGCCTGGACTTTCAATCACGACACAATCAAACGGATTCCGGGAGCCAGTAAACTACCAGTCTCTGAGCCCGTTCCTTATAGCTACAGCAGTGTTGTTTTTAAAGTGCTTAATGTGAAAATGAGTCTGTCAGAGCGTCGGCAGTAATTGTTTCAGGAGACGGAGGAGGGGAAACTGTTAGGTGAGAGAAGTGACAGCAGTTTTTCCTGTTTCATGTGGCTCATTTGAGGAGCCGGAGGGTCCCGTTTGAGTGATGTGCGTTTACCCTCATTCCATCTCAATCTCAACAGGTTATTTAGGTGCTGAGAGCTGGCAGGGAGATCCGCGTCAGGACATGCCCAGCCAGATGAAATGCGCTGCCGGTTTAACTGAAGTGGGCTGAGAATTAATGTTTTGTTTAAAGCGGTTTGTTCAAAGGAAGTTACATAAATCATTCCAAAACAGAATCTACGAGCTGTTGCTGTGACCAAATCATACAATTTCTCTATTACAAAACCATTTTCAGTTGGTCAGTTTACCATTTTGGTCCAGACATAAATATCTCTACTCCATTCAAATGACATTTGACTCACAGGCTAAAGCTCCTCCTCCTGCTCCTCCAGTTCAGTGATGAACGGCTGAGGCATGCACAGAGAGAGTTACAATAATCTGATCAGGAGAAGATAAAAGTGTGTATGAAACTGTGAAGATCTGAGTGGGAGAGCATTGTTCTGATTCTGGGTTAAGATAAAGGATATTTTTTACCATACCATTTTTTTAATTGGCTGCGTTTCTTCTTCTCTTCTTTCTCAGGCCTCAGCCTACGATGCCTCTTGGCAGCAGCCCGGGCGGTGTAGGAGTTTACCCAGGCGCCATAACCATGGCAACGACAGCCACCCAATCGCCACACCTGACCTCAGACTGCTCCAGCAACTCCGCCAGCCCCGAACCCGCCATCCCCGTCATCCAGAGCACGTACGGGGTGAAGTCCGAGCCCGGTGGGGGCAGCAACGGGGGCGGGGTCGGAGTGCTGGATCACCTGCCCAGCGACCCCACCAATGGAGACGACGACATGGACATGTACGAGGACTTTGAGGACGAACCCAAGTCAGACTATAGCAGCGACCACGAGACGCGGGAGGCCGTGAGCGCCAACTGAGAGTACTGTTGTAAAAAAAAAAAAGAAAAAAGAAAAAAAAAGAGGAAAACAAAACCTCCTGTTATACTCAGAGACACTTTTTAAAAACACAGTTTATTACAAAGACCTTCAGGCGGACTTTCAGGACATGTTGCGTCATGCACTGAGCGGACACGCTCAGTATGGTCTTAAACCGTGTGGCGATGGATGGTTTGAGCGAGAAGGCTGATGGGAAAAAATGTGACCTGAGAAAACAACCTGAACAGACTTTGAGAACCGACGATGAACTTCAGCTCCCTTCACTTCGACAATCTTAACAGGAGCGAGGAAAAAGGAAGCCGAGAGAGAGAGAGACAGAGAGAGAGAGAGAGAGAGAGAGAGAGAGAAAAGAGAGAGACAGAAAAGAGAGAGAGAGAGAAGAAAGGAGCGATGGACACATTGCTGTGTGGTGTGTAAAGAGCATGCATGGATTTTGAAGCATCAGGAGATGGTCTTCAACAGCTATTTGGTCTTAAATGTTTAAGGAGTGATTTTTGTTTTGATCATTATGTATTGACTTTTTTGTGGGTTTTTATTTTTCTCGTCTTTTGTTTCTATCGACTCTCTCTGACAGGTCGCCGCCTGTACAAACTCTGGACTGTCGGAACTTGAAATTTGAAAAAGTTTTAATATAAATCCTAGCTATTGTAATCTTATAGTCTTACTTTTGTTTCTTACCAATACAGTGCATCGACATCTTTTTCTTTTTTTTTCTGACAAACTGCTTATATTACATGACTGTTTTTTTTTTTTTTTTTTTAAATATCCCAGCTCAGGTATGATGTGCCAGCTTGTGAATGTTTTTATTTTTCATTTTCATACAAAAGGAGTGGTAGGACTTTTTAGACTGTCGATGAAATAAAGGGAGCAAAATCCCTTATATACCATTATTATTATTATTATTATTATTATTATTATTATTATTGAGTGAGTGAGTACCCAGGCATTGTACAGATCGACTTCAAATGTGCCAAACCTACATTCACATTCACTCGGGATGTTGTAGTCTTAACTTCCAATGCTGCAGAAAGTCTTACACAATCAGCTTTATTTTTTCCACCTCATGACACGAGTTTGTTCTCGGTAACTGCTGGCTGCCCTCCTGGCAGAGCTCAGGGAGGGTTGTGTCTTCATCCTACACACACACACACACACACACACACACACACACACACACACACACACACATACACACACACACACACACACACACACAAACACACACTTTGTGTGTCAACCCCTCCAGCTTTGAGGTGTAGTCAGACGAGCATCAGCGTCATTCTACACACGGCTCCGGTGCTTTCATGAACCACATCTCCCATAGTTCCCTGAGGCCAAACGCTGCGCTACAAACATCTTACATTAGACTTCAGAGTTGAGTCAGTTCCCGCGGTAACCAGTAGTTTCAGGTTGTTTTTACTAAGATCTCTACATTTCTATTCATGTCTTTATCTCGGGATAACTACATAGTTTTTCTGTGATGAGTCATTTCCTCTGGATCGGGGGAAAACGACTGAACGTACCTCATCATCGCAGGAAAAGCAGCGTTGTTATCTGGAGATAGCGGCATGAATAAGTGGAGTCCTGAGAAAACAACAGCAAAAGTACCTCAGGAAGAGTCAAATGAGACGTATGGATGCATGTCCTCTCATGACGTCTTAGACCTCCTTAATCTGGATTAAGATGTGTACATTATTCTGCTCGGACACTTTCAGAGATCATGAGTCTTAAACATTAGCTCTGTTAGTTCAGCATTAAAGGAAAAGGTTTGAGCAGCCCCTACTGTAGGAGGAGAGTGTCTGATCCCTTCACTGTATTTGAATTTGTTTCCAATCGGTACTAAAGTGTAAGAAATGTTGATATTTTTGATTAGCCTGTTCATATTTGTAAATGTCTTTGACGCGTAACCGGGGGAAACACACCAAACAGGATTTATAAAAGTGCAGAGCTTGGGTTTATTAGGTCCTTGATTTCAAAAAGGGTACGTTTTTCTACATTGCATGTATATTTTGAAGACGAGTAAATTATTATGAGACAATGGAAGAAAAATAACTCTCACTCAGCCGCACACACAGGTTTTTTTTTCCACAGCGAGATGTTCCTCTTAAACGTCTCGGCGGTCGGCACCATGCTGGTCGCTCGCACACGCTTTTTCCTCTGTTTTCCTCCAGTGTCACATTCTTTTTCTAAAGACGCATCATATTTGTCTCGTTTTCTGGGTGCTCTGTCGCTGTGTTTTTTCAGACTCCTGATTTCTCTTCATGACCACCTCGGGGTGTTTGGACTCTCTTCACAAGCTAGGACTGAACTTTGGGTTTTGCTTGCATCACCTGAAAAAGAAGCCTCATGCATAGACATTTCTGTTAGTGTCACACACATCCTAAGCACTGGATATAAATTCTATGTTTTTTTTTAGTATTAACTAATGTGAAGTTGTTGTTTGATTTATAAAATGATAATCTAGAGCAGTCAAACGTTTGGACTCTATAGGAAGCCTCCAACACGGGAGGCACAACGTAAATTGCCATTTCTATTTTTTAGAAACTTTTCATTCATTGAAGCGATTTCTTTTGGGTTGTTGCCGCAGCTCTCGTGCCGCCTGATGGGGGGAAAAGGGGGGGAGGGAGGGGGGGGGGGGGGGGGTCACATCACCTCTGATCTCGTTGAAAAAGGTAACCTCATGCTCTCGTCAGCTGTGACCTGCAGGAGTAGAACACACACGTTTCCTGGTCACGCTCACATTTTTGTGATGAGTATTGTATTTGAAATTCAATTGTGCGTTTTAACATTTCATTGTATTTATTAGCCAGCTTTGGCTCTAAAAAGTGTCAGTACAACTTGGTGAGAAAGACAATCAAAAAAATAAAGAAATAAATCAAAAGTAAAGACTTGGGATTTTCCTCACACATTTGTTTGTCCTTTATCTTTTCTTTGTGTTTTGTTGGAGCAGTTGAATACTTTGTGCACTGATGGTGTTGTGCTTGTGAACACTCTGTGTAACAGTTACAGGTAGAGCTGCATGATTTTTTATTTCCATCACTCTCACTAGCGCTCTGACTTTCCAGGGATCTAATAATTTCCAACACAAGGCGTTCTGTTTCCAACGTCGAGCTGTTCCACTGCGTCTTTATATTTTTGGTGGCCCATTACAGTAAATGTGGCCTATTGTTCCATTGTGTGTGTGTGTGTGTGTGTGTGTGTGTGTGTGTTTGTGTGAGGAAACGCCACACATTCACACTGCACTGTGGTGTATACGCCACGGCGCCGGTGTTCGCTGCAGCCAATCCCAGATTTTTCAGAGAGAGAAACAGAGAGCTCAGCCACATGCAGCCACATCATAAATCTAATTGTAATTCCCAAATCAACTGTAGCGTCACCCTGCGAGGGGCGCCGGAGAGTTTATCACACACTCCTTTGTGTGCATGTGTGTGTGTGTGTGTGTGTGTGTGTGTGAGCAATTCAACAGTTTTTGCTTGGGAGGGGTGTTTGAATCATACTTGTGCTGTTGCCATGTTCATCTCGTTAAATAAGTCATCATAATTTACACTTCCTCTTTCCTCTCTGCAGGATGAACACTCAGCTGTTTGCACGTTGACAGATTGTTTCTGTGTGTGTTTGTTGGTGTGAGCGTACGCAAAGCTTTCAGCGCCTTTTGAAAAGAAGCATGATGTTTAGTTCATTACTGTGGAGTCATAGTGTTAGAGTGGGGGGTGGGGGGGGGGGACAAACGGTCATACATGCAGACTTCATCCATCGCAGAAGAATAATTTTGCACTCCACAATGTTCCCCTCCGGTTTGCAGGATGTCCTCACCGCTGAAGCTGCTGGGAACTTAACGCGCAGAATGTGTAACCTTGAATAAAACAAGTGAATGAAATGGACATCAGTTTGTGATCTCAGAAGTTTTAGTGCGGCGTGGGCTGTATCTCAGAGGAGAAACATCCATAAACCAATTTAAAGGTTTTATATTATGAAGAATGCACTTTCCAATGTGTCTCTAACACTCATATGTGTCCCTAGAGTCTGTCTACAAACCCCTTAATGATGAGAAAAGTCCATCCTCTCCGTCTTTTGTGCCATCAAAATAATTTGTGATGTCATACAAAAAAGTATCACAGGTGTAAAAAATTGCAGCCATACATTGCATATGAAAAATGGTGAATGGACTTCAGCTTGTGTAGCACTTTTCTACTGTCGACTTCTGACTACTCAAAGTGCTTTTTACACCGCAGGTCACACCTACCCCTTCACACACTGATGGCAGAGGCTGCCATGTAAAGTCAACCAATCATTATTTGTATAGTGTCAATAACAAAGTATTATCTTGTAGATGTTTTACAAAAGAAATAATGGGATAAGATGCAGGAAGGATTTCTCCTTTGTATTCCTTGCTTACTTGTTGTCCACACTTCCTTCCTGCTGAGGTGGAGGTCGGAGCAGGCCGTGTGTGAATGAGGGCGGTGGTGGTTGAGGGACGACACAGTGTGATGGTGGAGTCTGGGCTTCGGGTGGTGGTAGAGGTGGTTCAACTGCACTTTTCCCTCTTTGGGTTCAGGATGTGCACAAACTCCTGTTACAGTAGCTCCAACTTTTGTTTATTAAACAAGAAACTTCAAGAGAAATGTGAGAGTGAAAAAGTGGATTTTCACAAGCAGAGTCTGACTAGCTCCTGTGCTAATTGTTCTTCTGATGGGAGGGAGAATTGGACAAAGTGTTAAAGTGAGCAGAGATGACTCCCTCTTTGAGTTCACCTCTCTCTTCTTGTGGGTTCGGGGTGTGTGAGGATGATGAGGGATAATAAAACACTTTCTTCTTAGAAGGTTGTGTTCAGGCCCTGTAGGCAAATTCACGTTTTGATTTTTTACAAACCCTACTTGAAGAGTAAGGAGAACACATTTTTCTTTCTTTTTTGTGTCCTCACATATCAGACCTTAAGATCAAGAGAATAATAAATTGTTATTATAAGGGAGGAGCCGCCTTCAGACGTGTTGGAGAGGCTCTTTCACTGAGGCATCAAAGTGTCCTGGTTTCTGATCATAGAGGCTCCACTGCTTATTGAAGTGTACTTAACGGTCATGGTGCAGCAGCTCACTACTATCCTCTCATGATGCTTAATCACTGAAACGCTTTTGATTTAAAATGGCTTAATTGAGCCTTTCACCTCCATGAAGCTAATCACATTTTTCACAAGCACTGTTTGATTTTGAAGGCTAAAATGTTCTTATTTGTGAAAACAGTGAAAAGTGATTTTTTTTTTTTTCCAAATTCAAGGTAGAGTCGGTAACTCAAAATATAGATAATACGAAAGTGATACCTCTCAATCATCACCAATGGGCCTCCATACATGTGGTTGTGACCGTGTCTGGGCGGGGAGCTGGTGTGTTTCCCCCGTCAATGACAGCACACAGGTGAGTTAATGAGTGGTCAGCGATTGGACGCGATTCAAACCGGCTCATATAACAAACGCAGACATAGTGGCAAAGAAGAGAAATTATGATCACAGTGAGGCAAAACCCCAAGCAGATAAAGCTTGTTTGAAGACCAGGGGGAGCCTTGTGTTAGCCTTTGCCCACTGACGAGGAGATATCCTGTTCCCTGTTGGACACACAGGTGCTTAGCTTGTGCTAGCGTGTGGTAGCAGTGCAGGTACAGACAGTAAACATACACACTATGTCCTCTAGTGAGAGTGTGCTTCTGGGGCCAATGAGCCCAGGAGGAGGGGCGCAGAGAGAATGTGTTTACAGGCTGCAACAAACAATGTAACTGACTCTACCTTTAAGGTTTTTACGATAGCCAGCCTTACACAAACAAAAAACACGTTTCAATCATTTTTATTGCAGAGCTCAACTTTCCAACGTGGGAGTGATTTTATCAGAGTTCTGGCACACTC